AAACACTCTCTTTTCCTTTTATGCAATCTTGTTTTAAACTATCTATATTAAAACAAACAACATTTTTGTCGATTTGATGAAATGATTAAAAATCTAAATTATTCTTACGTTAAAAATTTCCTAATTATGAATACGTCAGGGAATGGAATTTGAGTTATTCATCTTTAAAATAAAGTAATTTTAAATAGAAAGAATGTGGTTTCTTTGTGTGAAAATAAAAGGTGGAGATTGTTAGTGTCAATAATTAACATAGTCCAACTGGAAAAAGAAAGAAAGCAGTAAAAAGTAGGTAACTAATTTTCACATATGAGATTAATAAAATTTAATACTTTCAATTTACTTTTATTAGAAAAGAAACCAATATAACCTACATGATCTTCCACACTTTGAAAATACTATCCTCTTATAAAATAATAATTATTATATATTATTATAAAATTTATATTGCTTAAATTTAAAAAAAAATATAAACAAAAATGCCTGCTAAACATATCCTTCCCCCAAAGCTTTAGATAAACACACGGACAAAAAAATTTAAATATTTTTTTAATAAAAAATTATAGAAATATAGGCGTTTAGAATATATTTACAAATGTATAGCACTCAAACACGCTCCACAAAAAGTCAACAGTTTGACCGTAAAATTTTGAAAGTCCATAACTTTTGACTCGGGTGTCCGAATTAGGTAAAAAAAAACTTGATTTCACACAAATTTTCGAGATCTATGCAATGACATATCATTTGATATATTTTGTCTCTCACAAAAAAAGTTTAAATTTATAACAATGATACCATAAGAACGTTTAAACCCAAATTAATAAATAGAAAACCACTAGTTATGATTAGAAAAATTCATAGTAAAGATCTTTATAATTACGGTACGATTGCATTACTTTGAAAAAGTTTGAATTCACAAAAAAGAGAGACACGCTCCACAGGGAGCATAACTCACCTAGTGCTGACACGTGGCACAAAAAGTCAACAGTTTGATCGTCAAATTTTGGAAGTCCATAACTTTTGACTCTGGTGTCCGAATTAAGTAAAAAAATTTTGATTCCACACAATTTTTTGCGATATATGCAATAAGGCCTCATTGAAGGGGGGTTTGGTGAATTTTTTTTCAAAGCTTAGAATATTTTATAGTAAAATTTCGATAGGCCATAACTTTGGCCTCGGGTAGGGGTGTAAATGGGCTAGACTAGCCTATGGCCTAGCCTATATTTGGCCAGGCTTAGCCTATTACAAATAGTAAAACAGAACAGGCTACAAATTTTAAAAAAATCTATTTAGAAAATAGGCCATAGACTTTTTTGTACATGTCGGGTCTTTAAGTCTACAGGTCGGCCTATATCATATTATTTATTTTAAATAAAATAAATAAAATTATTATTTAAATAATTTTAATAATTAAATATTATTATTTTAAATAGGCTAACAGAGCTAGGACAAGGCTTTTATTTTTTAAATATAGGTCAGACCAATCTTGTAATTTGATATCTACATAGGCTAACAGGTTAGGCCAGATCCAATGTTTTTTACACAGGCCTGACATATTTAAGCCACAGTCTAGCCTAGCATAGTCTATTTACACCCCCTAGCCTCGGGTGACTGAATCAAGTTTTTTTTTATTCCGCATAACTTTTTGAGACGAACGTATTGACAAGTTCCGTAGGGGACTTGGTAAAAAAAAAATTCAAAAATAAAATTGCTTCCTTGTGCTCCGTTTTGTCTCCCATAAATATAATTTCAATTTGCAACAATGGTACCATATTCTTTACTAGGAATGATTCTAATCATGACAATGGTTTTCTATTTATTAATTTGGGTTTAAATGTTCTTATAGTATTATTATTGTAAATTCAAATTTTTTTATGAGAGACAAAATATGTCAAATGAGGTGTCATTATGTAGATCTCGAAAGGTTATGTGAGATAAAAAAAAATTACCTAATTCGGACACCCGAGTCAAAAGTTATGGACTTCCAAAATTTTATGGTCAAACTGTTGATTTTTGTGCCACGTGTGCACCTGGTGAAACATGCCCATCGGATAGTGTCTCTCTCATCAAACACGCTCCTGTGGGGAGTGTCTCTCTCCAACCGGTCACGCCTCCTGTGGGGCGTGTTTGGGTGATATATATAGGGGTGATAAACAAACCAGAGGCATTCTAGGGGCTTTTGGCTTGGCTCGTGAAGACCTAAGCTTATATGCCTACAATTTATTGTTGGAAACAGGCTTGAACTTGTATAAAAACTCGTTTAATAAAAAGGTCTCAAGGTTCAATTCAAAAGCTCGGTCTTAGAGCTTCTCAGGATGGCTTAATATATTATTTTTTATTTTTTTATTTTTTATACTACTTGTAATAGCCCTCTCTCTCTATTCAATCTATTTCTCCCCATTTTATTGGTTAAACAGACTTTTTGAATGATTTTGTTCTATATTATACTATTTGGATATACATCAAATTTATGAATATTTATGAAATTCCTAGTGCTGTTGATTGTACATGTTTGGATAAATTTTTGTTGTCTTATTTTTATTAAACAGGTTAACAGGCTAAATAAGGCTTTCATTTTTTGTAATTAAGCCAGGCCACATGCCGATAATTATATTCATAACAGGTAACAAGCTTGATCAGGCTGACATATTTAAATACAGGCTTAACCTTTTAAGATCAAAGCTCAGCTCGACCCGTTAATACCCTAGATATATATTTGTAAATACATTCAAAATAACTATATTTTCGTAATTTTTATTAAAAAAACAATATATATTTTTTTTTTGCCAAACTCACGTCATGTTAAGATTATTACAGTAAAAGCTCAACTAGAACGACAATGTCCTAATTATAATTGTTAGTGTTGGTATAAATATTTAAAGCGTTTGTTTTTTCTGCAATAACAACCGCAAATAAGTTATCTGCAGTAAGTTTAAAATTATCGTTTTGGGGCGAAAATTATGGTGTTTTTATAATTTTAATTTATTTCAGAGTTATTATAATCTTTATAATTATAATTTTTTAATATTTCAATCCCAAAATGACGTCATTTTGTGAATAAATACAGATAACTTACCTGCGGTAACTTCACAAATACTTTTTAATATTTAAATTAGTAAATTCGTCACATATAAAATAAGAACTAGTAAGTACGGTGGGGTTTTGGAATGTACTTAAACTTGCAATTGCAATCAATGAAGTCGCGCGTCATCGAGAATTGATCTCTCATAATAAAAATTTTGTTTCTATTTTTCTTTTAATAAATTTTTAAATATTTTGATAGGATCCATTTATTTAATCTTTTATCAAAATAGAGTCAAATAAATTTTTGACATGATAAGATCATGTGAAAAAATTAAAAATAAGAAGATTCTTCTATCAACCACACAAGTCTATTTTAAACCATAACTTTATGATGGAGATTAGCCTTCAAGTTTTATTGTTTACAAGAAGAAATCACAACAACGGGATTTGAATTTTTTTTGTTTTTTGTTTTTGGATAAACGGGATTTGAATTTCAAACTCAAAGTGGAAATATCGTTTCTAAATCTTCAGGCATGCTACATTACACCCCTTACTGTTAATTCTCCACATGATCGCATCCATTAATACTAGATGACTTTAGAGTACTCAATTTGCGCATTTTTACTTCTTGAGAGCGAATATCAATATCTCGAAGCAAAGTACTACGAAAACAGCCGATACAAGAATAGCACTAGTAACCAGCGGCAACTCATTGTAGTAATTGTCTGTCCTTTTTTTTTTTTTTTTTGTCTTTCCCTATAAAAGATAATAAATTAAATAAGATTCATGATTTTATCAATATTCTACGAAGCAGAAATTTCCGAAAAACAGGATTTTGTTCTTTTTGAACAAATCAAATTATCCACTCATCTGTACCAGAAGAAAAGAAACAAAAAAAGACAAAAGAGTGACGCACATACAAAGGGTAAGAAAAAAATTGAATTCCTGACGAAGTGAGAAAAACACAAATGGTCACCATTTTAATAGCTCAACCATAAGCTGAATTAATTAAATGTTTATATTATCATAATAATTATAACAAAAAGTGATATATATCATATAGTGAATCATTGTTTATCATATGTTCACACGTTTAAGTTGAATGTTGAAGCCCTATTAGCTCAGATGTATAAACGTGATTAAAAACAAGAAATGCAATATAAATTGCATTTGACGAGATTAAAGATAAATTTTAACATATATGAACACAGGTTAGCGTATCAACCCAATACTTATAAAAGTTATGTTCACGTGAGGATAACGTTAGTCCTCCAAGTGGTGTTAGAAATATAGTTACACCCAGCCAAGAACACAGGTTATTGTATTGTTGGCAGCTTTCTCAATAATAATTCACATTAATTTCTTATCAATTTGTTATAGCTTATATTTTATTGTTTTACATTTTAAATATGTACAGATAAGAGCATTTAGCTTATAGTTTGTTAAGTAGGCTATATCTCTAAGTTTATTTCATATTATATAGGCTATAATTAATTTTTTGCCCGTAGTCCGGCCCTAACCCATAGAGTTATATAATCTTTTAATTCGTACAAATTATTTAATATGCGAGTGTTTTGGTCTGCAAATTTTTTGATCTTGCCCACGTTGGTTAGGGTCTAACGGGCAGAGCTGGTCTATTTTGACAGCTCTACACCCAGGTGCATCTACATCAAATTCAATAACAATGTAGGGACCCGACTATAAACAATGATAGTGCCAAGAAAGTACCATCATTTCGTATTCCAAACCTAAAATAACAGAATAATCAAGCTTCACACGAGCATTTACACAACAAAACAAACAATTAAAATCGCTAATATTTCATTACATTTTTTGGAGGCTTCCTAATACATTAAAGCGTTAATCCTCTCCAATTAGAAAGAAACTAGTTCATATTATAGAGTACCCTTGAATACAGGACGATCAATTTAAAGTCTGAAAGTACTGTAGTATCCTAAACCATAAGCTCCACAACCTGTCTATTGTTGTGAGGACGATGAAGATGAGAAGCTTCGTGTTATGCCAAACTGAGGGTATGAAGGCCTCCTAACTGCATCTAACCTGCCGTGACTGCTAGTGACAGGTTCTTTGTGATTGCCCTTAACTTCCTGCAACACAGAAAAATGAATGAATTTCTATCAGCAAAAGCAAAATTAAATTAATTGTTCCGATATGAGTTATACCCTGATGGTATGTACCCTAATCATATGTTAGTCAACAAAAGATAAGGTGAAACCTTCACATCTAATGCTCAACTTTTGTCTAGTGCAGCAAAGTTGCCCAATATGAATGCCTTTAAGAAATGGAAACTCCCTTGAAGCAGAGAGGCCATACACACAATCAATCCTATCAGCAGAAAGTTGAGGGGCATATATAAACACTTAAAACCACTCTCCAATAAACCCCCGAGTTAACAAAGGAAAAATGAGGCAATTCTTATATGCATTATTACCCTTATATTTATATATATATATATATATATATATATATATATATATATATATATATATAAGAGATTAAAATCTCACTTCCCATTAAATCTCGATTAACGAGGGTACGATGAGAGGAATCTATATATACAGGTTAACTCTTGCATATTTATAAAGAGGTTATTTTCAGGATTTAAATTCGTAATCTTTCACTCACAAATGATCAATTTTATCATTTTTCTATTCTTGCCCTCTTTTATGAGAAAAATATTTCTGCAATTAATGAAAAAAAATTATCTGCATTTATTCTCAAAACTACCTCGTCTTGGTATTGAAATCTTAAAAAATTATAAATATAAAGATTATTATAATCCTGAAATAAATTAAAATTACAAAAATACCATGATTTTCGCTCCAAAACGACGTTGGAGTCTCTATTTAAATTTAAAAGTTTTTATTTCAATAAGATTTTAATTTTTCTGGAATCAACCTTCTCAGTTTTTATATTGACCCGAGACTCTTGATTTATTTGTTCTAGGGAAAAATTCATCTATATATAGATGAATTCATATTTAATTTATATTGATGCTTTATTACACTACCTTTTTTTGCGTGGGATTGTGAAAGATGTTCCACTAGAAATATTCTTGTTATTGCTTCGACTCATATTCCCGAAAAAGTAGATCCCGCTCTAATAGCTTCGAAAAAATTAAATACATGTATTAAGATAGGAAGGCTTCTTATTCCACAACAACTAAAGCACTTTTTCACTCTTTCATATACTCGGAGATTTCACTTGAAAACGAAAATGTTCCATACTAATAACTTATATGCAGTAACTGCCAAACAAAAACAACCCCTTTTTTATACATACAGAGAGTATATTTTTCAGATTTGATCAATGATCTTTCAATCACAGAGTAACAGTTTTTCCCTAGCCGAGGATCACCCTTGATGAAACAGTTTAATATATATTTTTGGCTAATTTGAAAACTTGGCAAATAATGAGCTTACAATTTTCTCAAATAGGGGAAGAACGCTAGGATCAACCAAAAACTTCCTCAGAAGGCCAACTACTACTTCGAGAGCTTTAAGGACGTTGAAGGCTTCTCCCTGCATCTCCACAATCCTCTCATCCGTGGTAGCACAACCTCGCACCTCATCTTCATGAAAAAAAATAAAAAATATTTGCATAAATAATCACTGCATGCTATAATTGCAGTGCCATGCTGTGATGGAAGAATCGAAAAAAAAGAAAGGCATTCATTCAGAAACAACAGAAAGGAAAGGAAGGATATACGATACTACCTGGTGACAAGACTCTAACAGAAGCAGCAGTAGTGTCGTGTATATATTTGATTAAAGAGCCTTGATTTTCAACCAAAGTGATAGCTTGTGTTGATGGGACCAATAACCGAATTGAACAAAATTTAAACTCAGCAGAATCTTCATTGTCAGTTTCGGATAATCCAAATACATGTTTGAATACCTTTATCACTGCATCCATTGCAGGGGAAATAGCTTTGTCAGGCTCTTCCTTCCCCGATATCAGTACCTACAAATAAATAATTCAAAATTTTTTTAAAAAAAGAAAAAGAAAAGAAGAAAACCCTTAGAGAGAGAGAGAGAGAGAAAGAAATGGAGATACAATTCGATCAGGAGTTTGAACAGCATTGTTGAGAACGCGAATTCGAGCTCGAGTGTCTTCGCACATCTTGTTGATGAATTCTCCCTTGTGGCCGATGATGGATCCAACCTTTCCTGTTGGAACGATGAGGCGAAACACGGAGTCACCGGGCCAACCTGGCCAAATGTTCTCCGGCGGAATGGTAATGGTGGCGGTGTCAGCTTCCTGAGATAGGTTGTCGTCGTAAGCGGCAATTGGACTTGTGTCGGGGGTGGGTGGTAGTTGAGAGAGGGAGTCATTGTCGAGATCCCATGCGGTGTCGTTTAGAGTAGGGTCAGTGGTGGCCATAGGAGAGGTTTGAGAGTTTAGAGAGAGAGAGAGAAGTGAAACAGAGATGGTTGGAATGGAACGCAGAGGGGTTATAGAGTTGAGTGTTTTTTTAAAGAGTTTTGAGAGGCGCGTGCGCGCGGGCTTCATCTCCCAATTTAATTCTCTCGTGTCGTTCATTAATTACTCCTGTATTTATTATTCTATTAACACTATTAATTCTTATCACTATATTAATTTTAATTTTAATTACTTCCGGTATATTGAAAATATGCTCCTCCTGTAGAGGTTTTTTGACAGTAGAAGACGTGGAATCTCAAAAAGAAAAATGGTAGTTGTTTTTAAATGAAACTGGCCTTTAAGGGGAATATTTTTAATAAATTGAAATTTCGAATACCCCTTCAAAGATTAAATGGAAAAGTGCTTCATGTATTGTAATTTAAGTGTGAGTATTACCAAGATTTCAATACTACAGTATACCGTCAGTCGCAAAACAATTTTGTATTATTATTTGTTTGACGACCAATAGATAGAATTAAAAATTTTGTGAAATTCATAAATAAAATTACACAAAATATATTATAATATTTTTCATGTTGTATATTATTTTGGGCACAATAAAATTGGGATAAATTATAACCATGTAAATTACATGAAATCACCTTAGGTGTTCTTTAAAAGAAGAAAAATATGTACTTTCGATTAGAACAATTAAGTATCTTATACTTTGACATTTTAACAACTAAATATATTTTATAATTAAGGGTTTAGTGTGTGCCATTTTAAAAGATGTCAGTAATGTCCTTTTAGTTTTTTACTTTATGTACTCCGGATAATATATAGATGTAATATAAAAAATTGTTTTTTTTTTTCACTTTTCACGTCAGCTGATGTGACTAAGGAGAGAAAAAAAAAGAACTTTTCATATTATATATACGTTCTAGATGAGTACGTAGAGTAAAAAATATTAAAATAATACAACTTGCATTCTTACATAAAAAGTTTTCCCTATAATTAAAGACAGAAATATATTTTTGCTCAACCTTTACAAATTATTAGTATCACTTACTGTTGCCTCCCGCCACCATTGGTTGCTATTCACCATTTGTCGTGTTGTCATCGCGGATTCCAGACACCGTCAACCCTGCCGCCACTCATCACTACCTTCCTTCCATCTCAAGAAATTATGAATCTTTTAATATGAAGCCTATTATAAAACTATAAACATTTATCAGTATGTCATATAACTTAGGGTTCATCATATAAGAACATAATTGGAATCTTAGGAAATTTATATTTTCACATTTAATAAGGTTAAGGGTACTAACATTTGTCTTGCGGAAGAATCTTTAACTCGAGGCCATTTTTGTCACGCTTTTCTTTCTTGATAAAGAGTAAAACTATTATGGAAGGAGGCAGAATATGGGTAATTTCTTATTTAAAAAAATCAATAGTTATCATAAAAGGCCTATGACTATCAGATAACTACTTCCATCAAGTGGTTATGAAACCATTCCCAGAGCCAATCAAAATTACCATTTAGTTATTCATTAAGTCATACACAATTTCATATTTATCCTTCACACATAAGTCATATCTTACATTCTCTCACTTGATTCATGTGATAAAATGTCATTCTATGATTTAATAAAATATCAACCTTAGTATAAATATATATGGCTAAAAGTTTCATACATTGGTTGCATCATAATTCATGATTAGGAATAAAGCCAAAATGAGTCATGGCAGTTCTACATTATCAAATCGGTATAATTCCTTCCATATGTAGCACTATATTAACTTTTTTTCCCTAATATGATACTTGATTGAGAAGTATAGTATTATGTCCAACAAAAATGTCTTCATTGGGGATAAGTCCTTTTTTCTCAATATCATCATACATACACGCATTCATACACAAGCCGAAAGCAAGAAAATATCATAAACATAAACATTAATAAGTTTAGAGTGTCAATAATCAATACATAACAATAATGATAAACATTCACTAGCTGACATAATGCCCATATATTATGTACATTACTAGCAAATGTATTGGGCAGTAATCCCTTCGTCAAAGGATCAGCTAACATAATATTGGTGCTAACATGTTCTTAGATATTATGTTTTTTACCCTTTTCTTTAACAACAAAGTATTCAACTACATATGCTTAGTACCTTTGGAATACTAATTGTTTTTAGAAAAGAAGATAACTGAGAAGTGATCACAACAAATTTTCAGAGGCCTATCAATACTATCGATTAATCCAAGCCTTGAAATAAAAATTTGTAGCCATTTACCCTAATCCATGGCCTCAAAGCATGCCACAAATTCGGTTTTCATAGCGGATGCAACAATTATGGACTGCTTCACACTTTTTCATGATATAATTTCTCTAGCTAAAAGATATGAGTACCAAAAAGCAGATTTTCTTGTATCCCCACATCTTTCTAAATCTATGCATCCAATCACTTCAAGATTGTTGGACCTCCTATAAGTAAGCATGTGATCTTTATTGCCTTATAGATATCTCAAAACTTTCTTTACAACTTTCTAATGATCCATATTATAATGCACCCGGTGTATTAACCCAATTATGGTATTAAGCGCAGCTTGAATTAGTTATTCATCACTTAGGGCCTGTTTGCTGTGATGTATAAGGCCTGATAGTATAAACTTATATTATATGTTATAATATTTTTAGTTGTTTGGTGTGACCATTGTATAGTATAAACTACAGCAGAATCCCTTAATACATCAAGATGATGTATAATTTAATCAAGCCTAGGGGTGAGATTAGGCCTGATAAGGGATTGTTATATTAAGTTAATCTCTTTCCATTGTAACCCTTCTTTATTGAAAATGTTAACATCAAGAGCACTACAAATATCATGCAATTTTAAGAAGTTGAGTGCTTCTTGTGGCTCCTTTTTTGTGTGTTTTGTTTATTTACCTTTAATACAATCCACACAAATATTCAGATCAGTCAAATCTAAATCCAGAAAGTTTCATTCTTTCATAGGAATTAAAGGTTGATGCTTTGCGAGATGACTATTTTGTTGGGTGCACGTGAGAGTTAACAAACTTGGATGTCCTTTTTAATAGATTTCCTTTTTAAATTGTATAGTTTAAGTAGGTTAAGTGTTTTGATTGAAAGTACATGATGGTTTATTGAAAATAGGCTTACGTGTAAGGGATTAATTTCAAATTTACCCATAATCAAAATTAAGCGTCAGACTTATTATTTTTTGCATCGGTATAAATTCAGTAAATGTAAGAATTTTTATTCTATACTGGTGTAATATATATACACACACAAACACCAATATAAGCATAAAAATTCTTACAATTAACGATTATTTTTACTTGCACCAAACAATGTGAATGTTTTTGTTGAAAACAATGTGAACGTTCGACCAAATGGTGGTAGCTCAGTTGGCGCATGGAAGCTAAGCAGGTGGGGGTGAGAGCATGTGTTCGAATCTCTTCAGTACCACCTTTGGGAGGGGTTTAAAGCCTTAATCCTGGACCCGTCCCAAATTGGATGAGTTGCGAAGCAATGAACCGATTGGAATATTTCTAAAAAAAAAAAACAATGTAAACGTTCGTCTTGTTGGGCTTCCTCCTTCAATGCTAAGCCCAAGCCCAAGCCCATTGAGGGGTTTCCTAAAAACCCTAACTCTAGATCTCACCTCCTCTATATATTCATTAGTTGTGGGTGGAGGCTAGGTTAAGTGATTGAGAGAGAAAATTTTGAGAGATAATTATTTGATTGTTTGAGCAAAGCTTTATGCTTTGCATTTGAGAGATCTCTAGAGAGAGTTTGAGTGAAACATCTCTAGAGAGGTTTGATTATCACCATTGTTGGAGAGGTTGAGTTAACCACCATATTAGTGATTCTGATTATTTGTAACCATTATTTTTCATAGTGGATTTTTTGATCTGGACTAGGTCCCGTGGGTTTTTACTTCTTTATTGGAGAAGGTTTTCCCACGTTAAAAATTGCTTGTGTTCTCTCTCTCTTCTTATCCTCTCTCTCCTGTTTTTCGTTTTGATTTTTCCGCTGCGCTGCCTGACCTGGTGAAATTCACGTCGAGGTATTGCTGAGATCTGAGATCGAGGATCTCATTGACTGACTTCCGCAAAGGCCCCTGAGCCTATCTGAGGGAACCGAGTTTTCCCTACAGTGGTATCAAAGCCCGAGTTCGACGGGTTCTGAGGGAGACGAGATGGAGACCAGTGGCATAACCAATGATGGAGACATGTTCAAGTTGACCGCAGATAATTTCACCTATTGGAGACTGATGATGGAAGATCATCTTTACTGCAAAGATTTATATGAGCCCATTATCCTTGATGAGAGACCGGCAGGCAAGACCGATAAGGAGTGGGAGATCCTGAGTCCGAAGACGGTAGCCACAATCAGGAAATATATTGATAAAAGCCTCTTTGAGCACGTGTCCGAGTTCACGAACGCGTATGAGTTGTGGACGAAGCTGGATTCCATGATTCAGAAGAAGACTCCCAGGAATAAAGCATACTTGGTTTGCCGACTTGTGAAGCTTGAATACAAGGACGACATGAGCATGATTGAACACCTCAACACCTATAAAGGTATTGTGAATCAGCTGTCAAAAGCTGAGATGAAAATTGATGATGAGATGCAAGCTTTGCTGCTGTTGAGCTCGCTGCCAGAAAGCTGGGATACTCTGGTGGTGACTTTGAGTAATTCAGCTCCAGAAGGAAAGTTGAAGATGGATGTCGTGACAGACAGCCTCCTGAGCGAAGAAGTCAGGAGAAGAGAACGAGGTGTTTCAAGCTCGTCTGAGGCCAACGTTGCTGAGAACAAAGGGAAATCTGACTCCTGGGGTAGAAGCAAAAGTCGGGGTAGAGATCGTGACAGAAGAGGAAAGTCCAGAGGTCGGTCAAAGCCGAAATATGAGTTGAAGTGCTTTTACTGTGGAAAGACAGGCCATAAGAAGCCAGACTGCTGGACCTTGCAGAATGATGAGAAGAATGG